GAGAGAACAGGGAAGGAGGCTGGTGCTGCTGACAGCCATGCAGAGAGAGATCTAGCGCTGGGTGGATGACACGGGTGAGGGGGACCGGGGCAGGAAGGGGAGAGGGGTTGCCAGTGCCACATAGCTGATCTGCAGAGAGAGCAGACACAGTTTATGGAGAGCGACACGTAGCACCCTCCAAGACTGGAGGTGGAGAAGGGTTATCAGTAGGCATATGCGGCTGCGTAGAGCACCCCAAAATTTCAGGCACCACCCTCGTTGGTTGCGGCATGGATACCTCTCCTCTCCGGCCCCTCCCCTGCGCTGGGCCAGCAGGCTTCTCCTGACCCAACACGCTGGCCCCTCCCCTCCACCCACTCACTCCTCAGCTGGGCAGCTGAGGGCTCCAGCTAGGGGTGGGGCCTCAAGGAGCCAGGAATGAAAGTTTGCATGTGAGTGAGCAGGAGGAGCTGGGGCCAGGCAGGGAGACCAGACAAGGCTGGAAACAGAGCAGGGGTGGATACCCGGACATAGGGAAGAGAGGGGGGGAACCGAGCTCGGTGGGTAGAGCTGGGCACAGGACTTCAGGATCAGGGGGGCGGAGGAGGAACCAGGCTGCGGATGGCTCTGGGGAGCTGGGCCAGACAGGGGGGCAGGCAAGGCTGGGAACAGAGTGTTTGTGTGTGTGTGGGGATACCTGGAGGCTGGGAGCTGAACTTGGGGGTGTGTAGAGCTGTTCATGGAACTTTGGGGGGGGGGGGGAGAAAGAGGAACCAGGCTGGGAAGGGAAAAGAGCTGGGGGGGGGGTTCTTTGTCTGGCTCAGTGAGCAAGCAACAGATGCACTAGGGTCTCCTGGGGAGAGCAGCTGTTCCGAGCAGCCCCCCACTGTACCTGCACCTTTCCCCCTCTTTGCCCACATGCCCTGCCCACCAGCAACTCCCTGCAATCTCTCTCCTACTGTCCTTTTCACTCCGCCTCCCTCTTCTCTGAAGTTTAAGCCCAGATGCGGATGATCCCTGGGCTGGAAGGAGGGAGAGGCGCACACACACACCCAGGCTGGGGAGGAAGGAAAGTTAAGGGAAAATAAAAGAAGGTGGTGTTTGCTTTTCCTGCCCATTCACAATATTCCAGTGTCAACAGGAGGAAACTGACACTAAAACAATGGGAGGAGGGGGATGTACCTAGAGCAGAAAAGCAGCAACCAGGGCTGCAGAATGCAAGGGAGGGGGCGACCTCTTAGCTGGGGAGGAAGATGGACTCGCACTGGACAAGGCTGGAGTAGCTGAAAACTTTTATTTAGGGAAAAGGGATATGATTTTTTTCTTGTGGATCCAAGTATCTCCAGGGCTGTCTTTCAAGCTGGTAGCATTTTGAAGGAGGGAGAGTTCTAAACTGTGCGGAGTTGGTGGGATTTTAAAGGTCCCTTTAAGAATGCAGCATCTTCTTCCTCACCCGTGGGAAAGACCTTTTAAAAATGGCCTTAAATAATCGAAAAAAAGAGCCACTGTTCAAATGACACTTGGCTGGTTATGGCTCCAGCCCCACTGTTGAAGCATTGTTGAAACTGCGCTCTGAGTTATACCCAGTACAATCCCACTGAGCCGTGTGTGGCAACAAGGTGTATAAATCAGGGCAGAAAAAAAGACTGGTGCCTGAATTCCTTTTCTTATTAAACTGCACACACCAAGCACCTCTTTACTTTTCAGGATTAGAGGGAAATGCTCTATTTTAGGGAGAATGAAACGCCATTTGGGAGTTGATGGCCCACAGCAGTGGCAGGCAAGGCCCTGGATGACGGCTGGACTCAGCCACTGGTATAAGCTATTTTTTTTTTGTCATTCAAACGGATTTTGGGTCATGGCTGACATCCCAGCCATCATGTAATACACTTCCCTGTGGCCTTTTGACATGCACACAGAGGTATCTCACTGCCAAGTTCCTATCCTAGGAAGGGGCGGGGAGAGAGGAGGCTGCAGGGTGATTTCCCACCTCCATGCAGCCAGTGGCCTATGCTTGCCACTGCCACGCTGGAGCCTCCACATTTATTTATTGACAAAATTTGCAGAATTTTAAAATACTGTGCACAGAATTTAATTTTTTGGTGCTGAATTCCCTCAGGAATATGGGGTGCCAGGCAGTTGGGGGAGGCTTGAGATGGGTGCTGGGCAGTGGGGAGTGGTCTGTGGGTGGCAGATCGCTGGCTATGATCTGTGGTGGAGATCTCTTGGTGAGGGGCCAGTGGGTATGGGGATTGCTGGGCATCAGGGGGTGAGTGATACTGGGCAGTGGGGCGGTATAGCAGGGCACGTTGGCAGTGCAGGGCTGGGTTTGGGGGCACAGGTGGGAGGGAAGTGCAGGGGTTAGGGGTGAAGGCAGCACAATTAAACCGTTTTTAATAAAGTGCATGTGGCAAGTTATCAAATCATGTAAGCTTATGTTTGTGTTGCTAAGAGCAAGTCAGGCACAGGGGCACCAGTTTAATAATACTGCATACGGCCCCATAAATCCTAAGGACGGCCCTGAGCACAGGGTAGAAAGGAACAAGAGCAGGGAGAATTAAAAAAGAAACCGCAGAACTCAGGGACACAGGACCCCAGAGACTGCACCCGCCAGAGCCCAATCCAGGTGGCACAGAAATCCAGTTCAGGTTTCCTCCACACAATGACTACAGTTGGAGCCCATCAAGGGTACTCTAGGAATCCAGTTCCAGTCTCCCCCACAGTGGCACTCTACCCAGAGCCCATATAAGAAAGATAGAAATCCAGGTTAGGTTTTTCCCTTGCCTGGGGCAGCACCCAGAGTCCATTCCAGGAGGCGCAGTAATTCAGGCCAGATTCCTCTACTCCTGGGGGGCTGCACACAGGTTGCACTCCAGATACATCATAAAAATACACCCTAACACCTCTTGCTTTCCGGTGTAAACAGAGCCAGCCTGTGCCAGAAGGAGGCAAACACACAGACAAAAGGTTGAGGCTAATACGAACATCTCTGGATTGCTCTGGGACATACCTAACAAACAGCACAGTCAAATGACACATGTATAAAGCACCTATCATTCAGCTGTATCCCCAGAGGCTTGACAAAGTACAAGCCCTGGAAGGAAGAGAATTTCCTTCCTTGCCCCGGGAGCAAGGACGCCCTGGGAAATGTTCAGCTTTGGGGGTATGAATATCTTGGCCACTGTTGTTCACCCAGGTAAATGGCTTGATTTGCTTGTATGTATAGTATGGAGGCAAACACTAACCCAAGCCAGATGTGGCTATTCCCTTCGCAAAGTGTTTCCTCACTACAATGAACACATGCAGCCAAAGCCCATACACTTGGATTTTCAGAAGTGCCCAAACCCCATTCACACATCATAGGAGTTAGGCACTGTCAGGAGACCCATGGGAAGAGCTGCCCTGGGGAAGCCATCTGCAGCATACACAAGCTTCATTGCTCCTGCAAAACCCAGGGACTCTGCTACATATTCCTGTGCACTGTCTCCTGGCACTTAACTACTTACATATACACAGCCACTTAATTCCCTTAGACCCCTTTGAAAATCTCACCATTGTCTACAGAGAGGTTCATGCCCTCCACAAACAGACCAGAGGAGATCACAACTAATGGGACAGACAAATGGAACTGCCCTCCAAAAATGAATCAAAATTCCATTAGAAATAGCACTTGGTGCACAGGAAACGCCTGGTTCCTAGTAGAGCTGAGGGTGTAGAATTGCATGGGATGCTCACTTCCTTCCTCACATCAGTAAGAGCCTTCAAAGAGACAGCCAAGACTGAGCTGCCCACTGTCCTCCCAGTGGCCAGCCCCGAGCACTGCCCCAAGTCGTGGTAGGTGCTTCCATTAGCACCACCATGATGCCCTGGTAGGTCTGGCACACCTAGAGAGCAAAACTGTCAATTGCAATGATCAAATATCAATCAAAAGAATATTAGAGGCTTTAAAAATGGGAACGTGCTGGCATGAAATATCTCCCAATTCACCCAAATGAAAGGGCTCAATTTTCAGCATGCTAATGTGCGTTGCCTTCCCTGACCTCTGCGCTGGAAGGAGCAGAATTAATTTTTTTCCAAGAGAGTCGCTAAAGGACTAAGTATCGGAGATTTAGAAACTAAAAATCTTGAATTTAAATGAGTCCTGCAGGTCATAAAAGGTCAATAATAGACTTGGGATTTACTGGTCTTTCCAATTCCCCATGGCTGCAGATAGCTGGATGCTAAAGAATTGATGGGTTAGACTTGGGAGGGTGGAGGGGCTGCATAGTTATTTACTGCATCCTGCCTTCTTTTTTATTCGGCACGCTTCTCCTCTCATCACCTGGGTGAATCCAGCCTGAGCTCTCTATTCAGAGACAGAGCTCCAAGTCAGGCCAGGATTAGGGCATATCAGGAAAAGCAGTGACTCAGAACTTGCAGACAGTAACAAATGGAAGCCGCTAAGTTTCTAGAATCGCAGAGAAACTCTACTGGAGCTGAGCAGACTCTCTCGTTGGAAGGCCCAGAAAGGAAAGGACGGTAAATAAAACCAGTCCGAGACCAAACAGGGAATAGCATTTTAGGGTTGACAGTTGGATCACTGAGGTGAGGCAAGATGGCAGCCCCTCGCCCCATGAGGCCAGTGCTATACTAGTGTTTGCTTGGAGCAGACGCGTGCTCGGATTCTAATGCAACTGACCCAAGATGAGAATCCAAGCCAGCTGCAGAGCCCCAGTTGCCCTCTTCCTCTTCTCACCCTGTGATGATGCATCTGTCTTGCTTAGGAATTACTCCTGACAGAATTCTGCACCCTTGTGGGGGCGCAGAATTCATAAGGTCCGCATATTTCTATGCCCCCCACGCAGAAAAATGCAAAAGAAATCTGTGGGGGGGACGGGACGCCTCTTCCCTGGCAGCCCAGGCACAGTGCATCTGTTCCAACGTGCCTGGAACAGTTTCAGAGAGGCAAATCACTGTTGGGGGAGGGGTCTGGGCCTGCGGGAGAGAGGTTGATCACCATCAGGGGGTAGGGTTGGGCGTGCGTGCCTGCCTGCCAACAACTACTAAAATTGGAACTATACAGAGAAGATTAGCATGGCCCCTGAGCAAGGATGACATGCAAATTTGTGAAGCGTTCCATAAAAAAAAAAACCAAAAAAAACCAAACAAACAAAAAAAAACAACTGAGAGAGACTCTGTCCCTCTCACTTGCTACTGTGGCTCGCCGGGGGTAGAGTAGTAGGTCTTTTTATTATGCAAGAGGCAGGCTCTGTCCTTGAGGCAGAAATGTAGCAGCCTGCCTGCATGGTAATATTGTTAATATTCCTATTGTTCAATAACTGTTCCCATTCTCAGTCAATTCCCCCAGCAACATAAAACCTGTAAAAGTTTTTAGGTCCCTACATTGCCAGAGTGATGTAAAGCCTTATAAATGACAGTAAGGGAATCAGCTAGGAAGAGCTATGTGCTCTCTCACTTTTTTCCTGTGCCAAAGTGGCACAATGGGGTTAGAGTACAGCTCAGGATTTATTTTACTTACCCATTTTAAAAAAAAGACTTTGAGAGCAAATAAAACATTTACCAAGCAGTCAATAAAATGTCAGGATAATCAGAAGCAAGCACTTCCCAAAGTACCCAGCCAGGCCCAGGACAATGATTAGCAAAACTGTATAGTCATTGTAGTTTAAATAAATTACCAAAACAATTGAAACAGGTGTATATATTATATTACATTATTTTGACACACAGAATATGCAAAATTTTGAATTTTTGGCGCAGAATCCCCCCAGGAGTAAGGAATGCAGCCCTTACCCCAGGCCAGGCGGCGAGAGCACCAAAGGGATCACAACGTCCACATGTAATGCACAAATTTTGTTGCACAAGAGCAGCAAGCAAGCCACCACCGCTTCTGTGCTGAGGCTTATTGTCACACTGAGCTGATGGGTCTCTTGCCCCAACCCAGCTCCTGTTGCAGTCTAAAACTTCTCTGTGTAAGCTGTCAGCCCCTCAATCAGCCAGTGGTTCGTTCCTATCTGAAGGAAAGAGGGGAGGTTCATTCCCACTTGCTCTCTCTGTAGGGGGAACTCGCAAGTTCTAGGTGGAAATGTTTTAATGAGTTGCTTTCTTTCTGGCCTCATGTCCACAGGACAGCAGTGTCACTTCTCTATGTCTCTGCTGCCTTCTCTCTCCCTGCCACGCGCTGGCAGTGAAAATTAAGAGGCTGGGCAAGACAGCATCTGGGCCATCTGGTACAGCCAGCATTTCCTTGTGGCCCCAGACGTCATGGTCTCAATCAGAAACACAGTTGTCAATTCACAGGGCAGCCAGGTGCTATCTCGGGCCCCAGTCCAGCCCTCGCCAGCAAAGGACTTCAGCACATGCTTAAGACTCAATGGAATTTAAGTGTGTCTTTAAGTGCTTTGCTGATCGTAAGTACTCGCTGAACTGGAGCCCTGGTGAGAGTTACAAGCAAGAGGGCTTTAAAACGGGGAAAGGGCAGTGCAGAGAGATGTACAAAAACTCTCCTGCTCTGCCTGGATTAACCCCGGTGACTTTCATATGCTCAGAGAGCAGGGCTGGCTCCTCTGCAACTTGTCCTGTGAGACAAGCAACCACAGCACATATACAGCGCTTTGACTCTCACCGCTCCCCCACCCCAGTGTTCCGTGCTTTAGGAATGGGCTCCACACACACCTTCTTCCGCAGGCATGTCCCACTCTAACTGGGGCACGGCCCCCCTATCAATTCACCTCCCTCACAGTCGACCGGGAGGTCTCCTAGCCACGCAGTGACAAGACCCAGCCATGCTTTGCCTTGCCGAGTTCCCAACCTGAGGACAGAAAATTGGGGTTTATAACCCATGATTCTCGGCCTGCTAGGAGTATATGCAGCCTCGCTGAAAAGGGATGCCACAGGAGAGCCTTTGTAGTCCAGGAGCCATGGGGCAGGGATAAGCTGGCTTCAGGACTCTGACAATGAAGGTTACTGCTGAATATTAAACAGCGACCTTCTTCCAATGGTTCACCCATGCACCGGGCATCAGGGGCAGCTCCAGTTCTCCCCAACAGCCTCCTGCTTCCATTGAGGGTGTCATTTCCAAAGCACTGCTTGGTAGGGCCTGATCCTGAACAAAGACTTGAAGCCAACAGGAGCTGTGGCCCTTTAGTCCCAGTGCTGAGCACTTGGCAGGATTGGGTCCTTGGGCAGCTTTCAGGATGCTGTGCAAAGCAGAAGAGGTGGTGGCCCTTTCCCTGCCTCCTCTCCCAATGACTCTGCATGGACAAGAACCTTCCTTCCAGCTCCAGAAGGCTGTGGCTTCCCGCAGAGCTTACCAAAGTTACTGTGATGGAGAGAGACTAAGGATAGGTCTACACCACATTCGGGAGAAGTGACTGCAACACGGACCACGGCCAATTGAATATGTAACCAAGGGCCCCGGGCAGCAAGCCTACGGAGTCACTGCTCTTGTTACCCGAGCGAGCTTTGGTCTAGTTCTACATACATACATTGCAATTACACCTCCCAACTGCAGCGTTGATAGATCCTAAGCTGCTCTAAGTTTCCTGCTGTCACAGGAGCATGGGGAAGCATACTGTGCCTACGTGTGTCAGGCTGTGCGCTGCCAGGCCCAACCCTGCCAGGTAACTTTACCACAAAAGAGACCAACGTGTAGACAACCAGCTCTGGGATGGGACAAATTCACCCCCGGTGGAATCCCCCTGGCCGGAGCTACACATCACTGCCTCCAGGACCTCTGAGCAGCCAATGACAACTCATTTAAACACTGGCTCTCCTATTAAAATCAAGACAGTCGATTGTTACAATCCCAATTCCCTCCCATTACCGCACTGGAAACTTAAGGCACCAGGAACTGCTGAGAAGTTGGAATTAAGGCTGACCCAGAAGACAGAGACATTTGCATCATCGTCAGCGGAAGCCATTAGGGATGGCTGTGCCTTGACAAGTTAAGCTGGGTGACTTAGCTAATGGCAGCAATCTGCCCACGAACTGATGAGGCTTGGGTTTAGCTCTGCTGCAGCGGCACCGTAACTAACTTCACTGGGCTGGCGCGAGGGAGGCAGGAGTGAAGGGAGATCCGGGCTGGGATGGCATTATTTCTTGCCAACCTGCTGATGCATACCTAAGAGCTGCCTTTACATACAAATTGCTGCTGCTCTCACTTTAGAGCCTCTTATTATCTTTGAAAAAAACATTCTTCTCCGTTCATTTCACTACAGATCGGAGGCCCCTATGCCTCCTTCACACCCTCTTCCCCCATGCACCTACTGCCTGAGATCTCTCCTAGGTTCTTTCCCCTACCCTTGAATGTTACCTTATTTCCTTCCCAGTCATCTCCCCCAACTCAATTTACTTCCCCTCTTTTCCTTTTCTCCTCCCTTCTTCACATGCTGCTTTCTCCCCAGTGCCCCATCCCCATCCCATCCACTCTCTCTTCTCCAAGACCATTGTGCGGTGACCTTCAAAACTGGCTCAAAGCTTTCCCAAGTTCCCTTTACTGCCCACAGGTGGCTGATGAGAATGAGGCAGACCAGATGTGCTCTCAGATGTTCGTAAGTTTCACTGGGAAGGCTGCTGAGCAGACAGCACTAAGAGACTTCAGATGCAGCCTTGCGTCTCTATCCAGGTCCTCTGTGGATCTCCCCATGGTCCTCCAGCAGAAGGAGAGAAGTGAGGATTGTGTCCAGTTCTAGTGAGCACAATTCAAGAAGGATGTTGATAAACTGGAGCGGGTTCAGAGAAGAGCCATGAAAATGATTAAAAAATTAGGAAACCTGCCTTATAATGACAGACTCAAGGAGCTCAATCTAATTAGCTTAACCAAAGGTAGGTTAAGGGGTGACTTGATTTCAGTCTGTACATATCTGCCTGGGGAACAAATATTTAATAATAGGGTCTTCAATCTAGCAGAGAAAGGTATAACATGATCCATTAGCTGGAAGATGAAGCTAGACAAATTCAAACTGGAAATAAGGTGTACATTTTTGACACTGAGAGTAATTAACCACTGGAACAACTTTCCAAAGACTGTGGTACATTCTTTATCCCTGACAATTTTAAAATTCAGATTGGATGTTTTTCTAAAAGCTCTGCTCCAGGAATGATTTGAGGGCAGTTCTCCAGTCTGTGCTATACAGGCGGTCAGACTAGCTGATCACAATGGTCCCTTTGGCCTTGGGATCTATGAGGGCCTGAGATTTCAAATGGAAAAAGTCAGCAGAAAAAAACTATTAAAATTCCTTTTGAGGAAGCTGTTGTAAAGTGCAACCACTTTTCTTTCTTTCTTTGCCTCACAGTTCACCTTTAGTTGTATCCCCTGGAGGGAGACGAATTCTTCTGGGTGGTGCAAGGGTAGTGTCTAACTGAAACGAAATTTAGACTGATACATTTCCTAACTGAGTGAGATGCAGCCACCAGTGGAACCATCTCTTGGGGGGTAGCAGCCCATGCCCCATCACTTGTTCATTTGAAACTGGAGAATAGACTACAGGGTACAGTCCTGTACTGAGTACGGAGTCGAATAGTTACCCTTGTAAGGGTATGCCTACACTGGAGTGGGGCTGTTATTTCCAGCACAAAGAGACATACCCCCGCACGGCTCTGATCAAACTGGTGCACTAAAAATAGAGTATCGCCACAGCGGCAAGAGTGGCTAGCTGCCCAAGTACGTATCTAGGGTTTCAGATGGGATCAGCCGGTACTGCTGCTTTGGCTGCTGTGACTACACTGCTATTTTTACCACGTTAGCTTGATCAGAGCTAGCATGGGCATTGTCCCCTCGGGCTGGAATTTACATCTCCAGCTCCAGTGTTGACGTACCCTATGATCATACGCTAACCCCTTTTATAAAGTGGCGGTGCTGAGATACTTTTAGAAAGGGGCTTTGAAGTGACACACCCATCTCTTAGGGCCTGTCTACACTTAACACGCTACAGCTGCAGTGCTTCAGTGTAGACGCTACCTATGCTGACAAGAGGGGTTCTCCCATCAGTGTAGGTAATCCACCTCCCCTAGAGATGGTAGCTAGTTGACGGAAGAATTCTTCTGTCAACCTAGTACCGTCTGCATTGGCACTTAAGTCAGCTTTACAACACCGCTCAGGAGTGTGGATTTTTCACACCCCCTGAC